AATCGGGGCCCACAATCAGAGACAATGTGAGTTTGCGGGGTCGGATAAGTTGTGGTTGTACTGAAACGGTCTTTCTCTTAAGCCGTGATCCTTTCTAACCTTCGGGGTGAGGCTGGGCAAAGATCTGGGGCTGACCCAGAGCTGAAAAAAATAAAAAAATGACTTCTAAAGAGGGGCTTGCTCTCTTGGTCCAGAGTGCCAAGCGCGAAAAGCAGCCTGGAAGTTTAATAAAATAAACTTCCAACCCCCTTCCGTGTCGCTTTCACGGAAGCAACCTGGGCACGTCCCTGAAGCCACACAAGTCAAACCCGATGGAGGACCCATTTCCTTTTTAAAAAGGAGAAACATGGCTTGGTTTTCCCCACGCCGTTGACATAACCGTGGTTTCCTTTCTTCTGTTGAAGCTGACCGGCATGCTGATCATATCTATGTTGGTATCTTATCTCGGATACTTTCAATACGGCTACACCGTCTTGGTGGTCCATAACCCGGCTTCGGTAAGTCTTGCCGAGTTAATCGGGGTTTGTCTGGGATGAGAACCCTGATCAGACCCCTGGCCTGAGTTCTCCCCACTCACCATGCTCAAATGCTTGGGGCTGGTCGATGGCTTGGTGTAGCGGGCAAACCTGCATAGCGTGGTCCTTTGGCTGGGGTTTTCCGAAGAAGAACACGTCTCTGTGTTCAAGGGAAAAAGTGCAAGGGTGAGCCAAGGAGCTGGTGGGCACAAGTGGGTGATTTTCCCCAGGCCCCTGTCCTGTTTGTGTGCACGATGCACGTGACACACTCATAATCCAAATGCAACCTCTAATAAGTTTCCTAGCGCGCTCTGCTAACCGAGAAAGCCATTCAAGTGCGCAGTACAGATAGACCCCAATTTAAGAACAAGTTCTGTTCCCGAGGTCTGTCCATAAGTTGAATTTGTACGTAAGCTGGAACAGTATTATTACATAATACTGTATAAGTAGTATCGTGTATTTAACTCAAACCATTGTATATTTAACTCAAATTTTGCTACAGTAGGCTCCCTTCTTAACTATGGCTCGTCCGTAAACCGGGCGTTCTTAACCCGGGGACTCCCCATACCGGATCTGATTTTTAACTGTAGTTGTTCAGGGATACAGTCAGAGAAGGACCGAGGAGGATGAAACAACTGGGCTTGTATTAAGCATTTATTCTGTACCCCAACGTCTTAAATTTAGTTCCTGGATGATGGGAAAATCCTCCTTTTCTTTCTCAACTGGCTATGCCAAGAGGCTTTTGAATTGCTAGAAAGACCAACAGATACGCAGGATGAAAAATCTTCTTTTCCCTTGTTTATTTTATTTATATAAATACACACACACATACGGAAGGGGGGCATACCTTTCTGCAGGCTCGTTTGTTTCAGGTTCCTGCAAAGAAATCATAGCCCCTACAATAAACCCCAAATGCAAAGTGAGCTGTTAAAAAGTCAGATTTAAGGGCCAGATTGACTGAATTTGAGAAGAGGCTGTGGACGAGAGATGCCCCGGTCTAGGTGGGACAGGTTGGGAACAGGACAGCCACAACTTTGTACTTTTGACGGCTGGCGCGGATGTTTCTTCCCAAAGCACCTCATCTCCAACATTACAAAGATGGAAATGAAGAATCTGAAAGTTTTCTGGTTCGCCTTGTCGCCCGCTGTGATATTCTTCCCTGTGGGAGGGGTCACTGGCGTTGTGTTGTTCGGAAACCTGGTTGACAAATACGGCAGGTACAAGAACCGGCGCGGAGGGGCGGGGGGCGCACAATTTCCCAGGGCCGTTGAGCAAAGTAAATGCTTGTAGGTATCTCCTGGAGGTCTCTTTTCCAGTGGACGCCTTGGAGAGACAAGCTCAGGTTCCCCCCATTTTCGCTGCCCTGAATATTCTGCATTTTTGCAACGTAATTTGCCAGGAAATCTTCCACCCAGCTCCTTTAGCTTCTGGGCCACGTCAGAAACAATCCCTTATCCCATACCCCATAACTTTAATTTCCCTATTTTCTTTCTCTTGTTCTGGCGTCTGGATAGGAATCCACCCAGGGCAGGACTCCCTGCGACATTTTTTGCCGAGGAACCCCCGAAGCCGAATGATTTTTTAAAAAAGTTACCTGTTATTTTTGGGAACTGGTGGGTGGCGTGGGGAGGAGATTGAAGGAGAAATGAATTCATGTCTATTCTGATCCCACCCCACCCCCAGATCTGGTGCGAGATTTCAGCGGTGGCTCCAAAGCTGAGCATCGTCTGGAAAAAGTTGTGCGTCTCTGTTTTCAGGGAATGAATTTTGGGGGGGGATGTTTTGCCTAATAACGGGATAATCACGCCTAGTTCTGCTTTGCATGGGGCCTGGGAGCTCTGGCAAAGACAGAGCGGAGGGTCTGCTTAAAATATTGGGGAGGAATGACAGCCCCTAACTCTAGTTTAATTTTTTTTAAAAATTTTTGGCTAAGGCCCATCCGGCTCCTTTTCCTACTCTTCCTTTCAGAAGGTACCTCTTGCTGTTGAATAACGCCTTCAGTTTGCTCGCCTCTGCCTTCCTGTGCCTTTCCAACATCATACAGATCTTCAAATTCACAATTTTCGCCAGTTTTATTACAGGGATATGCGCAGGTGAGGAAAAAACAAAAATGGGTCTGCTCTTCAGATCACCCCAAGACTGTCGGGCCGATCTTAGGAATCGAGCTCTGTGATTTGTAAACCGAGGAAAGGAGGGAGGGGTAGAAGTTGGCACATTCTCAGAGGCACTCCGTCCTTGGCGGTTCCACGTAGGGAGACCCAAGACCAAGGATGCATTGCAGATCGGTCACTTCGGCCTCTTTATATCTTTGCCACCACAATTTGGGATGCTGAAGAGGCTAGCCGCTTATTTAGAGACTTGGCTCTTCAGCAGGGCAGACAAACCAGCCATTTCCGGCTCCTGCTTTTGGGTTAAAACCATAGAACAAGGGAGAGAATGGGTCTTGTATTCCCCATCAAGCTTTCACCCCCCACAGGAGGGGGTGAGTTTGGGAAAAAGTTGGGTTAGATTAACTGCAGCCCCTCTTCTCAAAAAAAAAAAAAAAAAAAAACAAACTCAAAATTTTTGTGCGGAAACTCATCTGGCTGTCCATCGAAGGTATGCTTTATTTATAGAAATTGGGCATATCCGCGCAATCCTAAAGCAGAGGAAAAATGTCAAGTTCTAAGCAAAAAGAATTAGAACAGCGGGTTCGAATCCTAACCTTACAATTACAGATGAAAATTGACGAAGCAGCCGCTGGCGCCATCTCCCGGTTGCCATGTGCCCGCACACTGGCGAAGCTTTGCTTTTTAATAAAAACCGATCGCCCCGAGGAATAAAAAATAAATCAACAGAGAAACGGGAGGCATAAAAATAAATGAAATAACTAAAAGCCTGCAATCTCGTGGTGGTGGATTTATCTCCTGGGGTCCCATCCCTTAAAATGGGTTATGCTCCGGGCTTCTTGGCTCCCAGACCTCACAGGACACCAGACTGAAATATTACAATCAGAACAGGGGGAAAAAATTGCACGGACAGCACAGGTTCAGTTAAACTTGGAACGGTTGGCCGTCCCAAAGCTTGGCGCTTGGTGTATTCACAGCAACGCTGTGCCGTTTGCTTGACAGCCACGTAGCCGATCTGTTTGCCCTTTCGTTCTTCCAGAATATTTTTAATTTCCAGTCTAGGGAAGTTGTGGAACTCTCCTCTCCAGACCAAGCTTCACCCTGCATAGTTTCTCAACATCGACCAAGGCTGGCTGGGTTGAAGTTCTCTGTTACGAACCAGCGTTCGCAAGACGGGCCCTTGGCCCTTTCTCGCTATCGCTGCATCAAGGCATGCCGTGAACCCACCGCTCAATTTCCTTATCCAACTTAGGTATCTTCTCCTGCTGTGTCCCTATATACCTCTTAGAGGTATCCCCCACCCCCATGAGAGGATCTCTGACCGCGACCTCAGTCCTCTTCTTCATCTTCGGCATTGTGATCGGTCAGATATTAGGACTCCCCCAGATTTTGGGGAACAAAGAAGGTACGTGTATCGATCGAATCATCGCTGAAGCTCATCTTTGGAAACCTCGCAGGAGCCAGAATAACTCCCACGCAGCAGCGGTGAAATAATTGCCCGCTACCGCGTTTCTGCCTAAGAGGCACGTCATAAAAGGAAAGGCGACAGGGCAGGAAAAGGAAAAAGGAAACGTCAGGCACAGATTCTAAAAAGCAGCGAAGGGTGGGGAAAGACTGTGCCCTTGGCAAATCGTCCATCCAAACTTTTTTTTTCCCCCTCACTCACAGGTTTCCCATTATTGGCCGCTGTACTGGGTGTCATTGCTACCGTTTGCATTTTGCTACTGCTGATCTGTCCGGAAAGCCCCCGGTTTTTATTCATTCAGATGAAGGATGAAACAAAAGCAAGAGAAGGTAAGGGTGCAACGGCCTCCTGGCTGCTGGGCGTCAGCCTTGCAATGACCTGGGAGCCACGGAGGCGGCTCGCGGTCCTCCTGAAGCTCGTCCCGTCATTTCGAACTTGCGGCTGCAGCGCGGGGAGCAGGTGTCACTTCCCTGACCTGGCCATTTCCTCTCTTCCCATCCAGTCTTAAAAAGCTTGCGGGTGCAGGAGGACGTGGAAGACGAGATTCAGGAACTCCAGAAGGAAGACCTTTACGAATACGAGGGCAACGAGAAAGAGATAACAATCTGGAAACTCTTATGCATGCAGAAATTTCGGTGGCCTATCATCACCGTCATCGTTTTTATGGCTGGAAGCCAACTCTCAGGCATTAACGGGGTAAGGAAAAAATGCATCCCGAATACTTCCCAAAAAGCAGGAGAAAAGCAAACAGACAAAGAAACCAGAATATGGATCGTGGGGTTTGTTCTACGCTGAAAACGGGCAGTTTGGGGTAACCAGCTCCCAAGCCTAAGCTTTTGGAAGGCAGCTGTGTCCCGAATGAGATTTTTCTGAGTTTTGGAAGGGGGAGGGAGAAGAAAAGGTGAATAAAATGGGTGTCTGACATCCCGTTGGATGGCTTCCCCTATTTTCCCCTCCCTGCCCTGTTCCCATGTGGATTTCGCTTCTCTTTTAAGGGCAACAGATAGAAAGTCCAAATCTCCCTAGTTCTCCTCTCCCGAACAAACTCTGGGTTTGCAGCATCCTCTTCAGCGCAACTCCTCTTTTCCCTTTGACCACAGCTGTTCTTTTACGCCGAGAAAATCTACGAAGCTATGCAATTATCCAAGAAGAACGCAAATATCGTTTCTTTAGCTATCAGCGTCATCGCCATCTTCATCATTCTCACCGCGGTAAGCCGCACACCTTTCCAGCTTTCCCAAAGGCTAAAACCCAGGGCAAAATGTGGCTTTTCCCTCTCCTCCCCCCACCTTTTGGAAAAAAATCATAATAAATCCCTGTGCTCTGAGCTCTGAGTAGCTCTAAAGAACAGGAAAGAAGGGCTGATTTGCAGAAACGGCTCTGCCGGGTAGAAAGGATAAAGGGTTTTGTCGCTGCTTGAGGAAACGGTTTATATCCCGTCGGTCCTTTGCAAGCCGTGCTGGATCTTGGTGGCTATCTCAGCGGCCAGCTCTGTTCCTCCAAACTTGCTAAACCGCTGGATCCAAGGCTGCTTTTTCAACAATTGCAAGACCTGCTAACTTTCCAGCGGCAGGAGGCCTGGCCTTGCTTCCTTGCAAGAAAGAAGGAACGGGTGGCTCCGTTTTTCACCCTGCCATGGTGGTGCCTGGGAGCCACCTAGCAACATGAGATTTAGGGCTGTGATACCTGCGGCCTTGCCCTTGAGATTCCCCCTACCATATGTCTGTTGTGTCTCCTTGATTTTTTTCCTAGATCAATGTGATTGAGACGTGGGGGCGGCGAATTCCTCTCATCATGGGCTTCATGATCTGTAGCATGACCTGCATTCTGTTAACGTTCACCCTCGAATTCCAGGTTTGGAAGCTCCCTGCTTCCAGCGGGGATCTCCACCCTGCCCCTCTTCCCAAGCCCCCCACCTCAATCTTGCCCTTGCTGGGAGCCCACAACTAGTTTGGGCACCTTAAGCTTAGAGAAAGCCAGGTGCCGGGCGGAGAGGGGGACCTGTTCACAAGACTTGTTCCCTACGTGAGCTTGTCCTCTTTCCACAGGTCTACAACCCTCTGATGGCTTACCTTAGCCTGATTTGCATTATTCTCTTTTTAATTGGGTACATGTTAGGACCAGGTAGGTGAACAGGCAGGACGCTGAAGGTTTGCTAGAAACTCCAGACAGCAAGGGGGGGTTGCAAAACGAGACCCCCGTCTACAAAGGCAGCCCAGACTGAGCCCTTTCTCCCTTTCCTCCCAGCATCAATCCGCATCGTCATCCTGGGAGAACTTTTCCTTCAGTCGAGCCGGGCCTCGGCTTACATGGTTGGATGCTGTGCGGTGTGGTTCACGCGCGTTGTCTCTGGGCTGATCCTTATCCAATTGGAGGTGAGCCCTCACGCAAACGGACGCTTCTACGCCTTCACGGGACACGAGCACGGTCCTTCTCGCCCTCCCGCTGCCCGGAACTCCCAGGCTGATCTTCTGAGTTGCAACCCCAGCGCGGACGGAGGGCATCGATTTGGGTGCTAGATCCAAGCCAGGCTGTAATCTTACCCTACAGGGTAGTTGTGAGCTGGGAATCGGAGGAGGGAAAGAGAAGTGGGGGAGCATCCTTGGATGCGATGCATCAGGGAAAGAGAGCAGATTCATTCACTCTGCGGATTGGTTATCAAGCCGAGTTAAAAACTGAGGCGGGCAGGAGTCGAACATCAGCCGGTAGGACAGGTAGCAAGGTCCGATGCCTTGGCATTGGCTAAGCTCAGTGTAAGTTAGAAAAAACTCTCCTTTCATGTCATTTTCCCTTTGCCCTCTTTCCAGTTACTCCTGGGCCCCTACTCTTTGCTGGTCTACTGGCCCTCCTGCGTGGCCACCTTCATTTACCTTTTCAAGATGATCCCCGAAACGAAGGGCAAATCCTTTCTGGAAATCCAGAAGGCCATGGCCGAGCGCTCAGCCAAACCAAAGAAGAACAAGCAACTTGAAATCACAGAAAATAGCTGAATTTATTAAAAGGAAATGATTGCTGATTTTCAAAGGAGGGCCCACCGAGACGCCTTATTGCTGCCTTTCCGTGCGTGTTGTCCGCTGTTTCTCTTTCTTGGAGGGTTAAACTAGGTCTCCTTTCCCCTGGATTTCAGCTCTTCTGTTCAGCCAGGATGTACGAGCCAAGAATTTGGCCCTAAATATTTTAAGCCTCCTCATTCTGCAGATTTCTCTGGAATAACTAACTAGAACGCAAGTAGATCCTTGTTGAGGATTGGATTTTGATGGCCTTGAAGACAGTTCCGGGCATCTGGGCACTGTTAGCGCCCGCGTTGGTCGCTCTCACAAAATGGCCACCGAGGAGGGGCGTGGCCTGTCCCGAAAGAGAAGAAGTGGGGCTATTTGTACCACAATCCCTTAATTTCACCCCCCCAAATCTTTGTTTGCAGGGCCACCATGGGACCCTCACTACTGCTAGAAATAAAGATATTTGGAGTGGTTTCTGTGCTGTTCCCTGTCTCTTTCAGTTTCTTTGAATTTAAATAAATATTCTTTTTAGAAGCTAAAATGCCAAAAGTTGTAAAGAGTCTTGTTGTGCAAGGAGACACTTTTAAAAAAAGCTTTGGATCTCTTCTTCTGTGGCTAGGTGGGTTTCTTTCAGATTCTTTTTCACTGTTGATGCCCACCCTGCTCCCTTGGGATATATAAATGGCCCATCTGGGTGTGGGCATGCATGCGCATGGGACCAGGGACTTGGACTGAACATTCACATCTGGAAAGCTGATGTTAGAGGGGCTGGTGTTGCAGCGGGAGAGGCAGATTCGAACTCGTATCTTTTGCTTTGCAAACTGGCTGCTTAGTCGCTAAACTAGAATTATTCAAACTGGCTGGGCAACTCTGGGAGTTGAAGTCCACGCCTCTTAAAAGTGGAAAGTCTGAAAAACACTCTGCTAAACGAAGAGAGGCTCCAAGCCAGGGATTCCCTTGGGGAGCCCCCCCCCCACAAACGCCAACAGCGTCCTGCAGGATTTCCCACTTTATGGCTGCAATGCCAGAAGGGGCCACAGGGTGGCGGTGTTTTCTGCCTTGACCAGCTGCCTACAGCTTTGAACAGGCTATCTTAGCTCAGTTTAACTCGGTTTCCCTGGTCTCAGGCTGTTCCCAGCTCCTGGGCTCTGTATTGCAATATTTATTAACAATTAATAATAAGAGGTAATGATGAGAATAATCGGACGCCTTTAAAGCGGCTTATTCCCTTTTCCGGCGGCAGCGCCACGAACGGCCACCGGGTGGCGGTGTTTTCTGCTCTACACTCTGCCTACAGCTTTGAACAGGCTATCTTCGGTCACTTAACTCGGTTTCCCTGGTCTCAGGCTGTTCCCAGCTCCTGGGCTCTGTATTGCAATATTTATTAACAATTAATAATAAGAGAGGTAATGATGAGAATAATCGGACGCCTTTAAAGCGGCTTATTCCCTTTTCCGGCTGCAGCGCCACGAACGGCCACAGGGCGGCGGTGTTTTCTGCCTTGACCATCTGATGGCAGCTTTGAACAGGCTACCTTAGCTCATTTAACTCGGTTTCCCTGGTCTACGGCCGTTCCCAGCTCCTGGGCTCTGTATTGCAATGTTTATATCAATACCAATTAATAATAATAGAGATAATGAGAATAATCGGGTGCCTTAAAAGCGGCTTATTCCCTTTTCCGGCTGCAGCGCCACGAACGGCCACCGGGTGGCGGTGTTTTCTGGTCTACCATCTGCCTACAGCTTTGAACAGGCTATCTTAGCTCATTTAACTCGGTTTCCCTGGTCTCAGGCTGTACCCAGCTCCTGGGCTGTGTATTGCAATATTTATATCAATATAACTTAATAATAATAGGGGTAATGGGAATAATAATCGGACGCCTTAAAAGCGGTTTATTCCCTTTTCCGGCTGCAGCGCCACGGGCGGCCACCGGGCGGCGGTGTTTCTGCCTTTACAGCTTTGAACGGGCAATTTAGCCCAGTTTGACTGTTTGAAGTCGGTTTCCACCCTCACATCCAGGGCTTCATCTTCTCATCCTGGTCTGTTTCTGAAGTAGCCGCCTTCCACCTTTCTGAGCTCGTGAGAAAACGGAGCAGGAGGAAGGAGCAGGTAAAAGCCAAACTGAATTAACCTTTAGGGTAACCCCGTCCCCAAAAAGTCCGTTTTTCATCATGTCAAGAAGGTGGGGAGAATAAAAACAGCGCTTTCGAGCCTCGGAGACCTTGGGACTCCAATGCCTATGGTCCCCACCTGATCCCTGGTTGGGGGTGATGGCCGTTGGAGTCCAAAAGGTGGAAATGTGGCCCAATTAGAGGAAAATCAGCTTCTCTGTTATCTCCCACTTTAGAATTTCAGTTACTGGAAGTTACTCAACTATAAGTCGCTCCCCCTTGACTTTGGGGGGGCTGGCTGGGGATGCTGGAAGTTGCAGTCCGAAAATAACCAGCAGCATCTTTTTTGCGGAGGAAGCTGATTAAAAATCTAGGGGGTGATGTTGGTGGGAAATTTCCCCCCCCCAGTTGCTCGTCTGCACTTTGGTCCCGATTTGCAGATATCGGATCGAAGAATGGCGGAAGAGAACGTCGCTGTTTCGGGAAGGGTAAGTCTGCAGTCGTTCCCACCCCTCAGCTTGGGAAAGGGGGTGCCTTCCCGAGGGTGTCTGGGGTACGGAAATAAAAGGGGGGTCGCATAAACCGGAGGTGACGGGGGTCGGTTTCGGGGCTGAGGACGCAGCAGGGCAAAATCACATTTTCCATAACTGATTATCGGTGAGCAGCCGGGCAAAGGAGCGTGGGGTTTGAAGGGGCAGAGAAAGGCCTTATGAAGGTGAAATGGCAACCAGAACGATCCTGCCTGCGTCGGGCACTCTCGGTCCTCCTCGAGGGTTTGGGGCAGCGAAAGACCCTCTTGCCATCTAAGTGCTGCTGCGAGTAACGTGGCTCCCGGCAATGGAGGAGGTGCCAAGCACTTGAGCAGGCCTTCGGGGACGGCACCAAGCGTGCCAGCCACGGTTGGCACTCCCACCGGTTTCCTTTTCCACGTCTGCTTGATCCCTCTCTGGAGGTCTTTATATTCCCCTGTTTTTTCCTAGTTCTTTCGCATTGACCCTTCTATCACCTCCTCCTGGACCTCTTTAGGAGTTGGGTTTGGAACAAAAACGCCCCCCACTTTGGGGCCTTTGCGTCTTCCCCACGTGTGGTTCAGGAATGGAGGAACCTGCAATTCTGTGCGTTGGTCGCGAGGCCCCAAAGGAATTTCCCCACCGTTAGATGGGCATGAGACCCCCGGTTGGCACTGCTGGGCCTGGAAGCTGAGCAGCACCCACCCCACGAGGGAGACCCCTGAGGGGACCCGGGCGGGAGGCGAGAAGTGGACGCCCAAACACCGCAGCTCCGTGCGCCCTCCCTTCTCTCCGCAGATGCTCACGAAGCCCCTCGTCCTGGTGACCCTCATCTCTGCCTTTGGGTCATCTGTCCAGTACGGTTACAACGCTTTTCTGGTCACCTACCCCGCCGAGGTAAGGCCTGCCACCCATGGGGCCGGGCTGGCCCACCCCGATGGGTGTTGCTCTGTGGGTTTGTAACGCAACTCGTGTCGCTCGGCTTCCCCTCCCAGCACATACAAAGCTTCTTCAACGCGACCTACCGGTTCAGGAACGTGATCAGCATCGACCGCAACGTGCTGTGGTTCCAGTGGGGACTCACCGTCTCCTTCTTCCCGCTCGGAGGCCTTTGCGGGACTCTCATGGTCGGGCCGGTGGTGGACAGCATCGGCAGGTACCCCCCCTCCCTGCCCCTCCCACCTCGCCTCGCCTTCCCCTTTCTTGCTATCTTTGTTTTCCAGGAAAAAAACGCTTCTAGCCAATAACCTGTTGGCCCTGATCGCGGCTGCCCTTGTGGTTTCCTCCAAGCCAATGCGTTCCCACGAAATTCTGATTTGTTCGCGCCTCTTTGTGGGAATCTGTGCCGGTGAGCGACAGCCCTGACGGTGGGGCCACCTCCCGTTCCCCAAAGCTTCCTTCGGCTGCCCATGCTCTCCCGACCCCACCGAAGGGCACTCTTTCACCACGGTGGGCACGTGGAGTGGCATGCGAGTGGGTCTTCCTTGCCCGGCCCTGGGGTAGCCTCATCCTGCCAAAGTTTTGTGTAACTATCTCGGGGGCGAATGGCCAGCTTCGGCTGCGAAAAAGGCCACCACATTCAGATGGTGAGGGATCCTTCTCCTTGCCTTCCAAACCAGGGGTTGCCTTCAGCGTGGTCCCCATGTACCTGGCCGAGATTGCCCCCCAAAATCTCCGCGGGGCTCTCTGCACGGTGGCTGACCTGTTCATCACTTTCGGCAGCTTGATGGCGGAAGTCATAGGCTTCCATGAAGTCCTTGGAAGTGAAGAAGGTCAGGGATAAAAATATGTATGTTAGATTGGGGTGATTCGGTGTCTGGTGGCCACGGTCCTGACCTGGTCTTCTCCTCCAGGTTGGCCAGTCTTGCTCAGCCTCACCGGGCTCCCGGCGTTGGTGCAACTGCTGTTGCTCCCGTTCTTCCCTGAAAGTCCTCGATATCTCCTGATTCAGAGGAAGCAGGAAGAAGAAGCCCGGAAGGGTAACGAATCATTGATTGACTGATTGATTATCGATTGTGCCTTGTATTCTCAAGCCAGTCTTGACCTCCCAAGTCTCTGGCCTCGATTAAAATGAGTCGTGCACTCTTCCATCTTGTCACCTAAAAAGGTAGAGAGAAATGGCTTCAGACTAGGGGCTGTCCTCTTCTTAAATTTGTTTTTCTTCAGCTACCAAGAGGGCTGGTGGGACAGTGGCCTTGCTGGAGGCCAGGTGAAGACCTCCTGCTCTGATTTTTGGGCTGCTTGTTATTTTGGGGCATGCAAAATCAGTGGGTGAAGCCTCTTTGGAGCCAGCAGGTTGGGACACCTGGTTTGGACAGGAAGGAGAAAGAGAGGGGCGTTCTTCAAAGACCGAAGCACGGAGCTCCGCGTGGGCCTTGTGGTTCCGGGATCTCCCTCCGAGAACGTGCCTCCAACCTATGAAACGTTTTCCGCGTGTCTCTCCGGTTTTCCAGCAGAAGTGGCTTTGAACAGCTTCAGATGAAGGAAGAGGACCTCAAGGTCGGGGTTTTCTTGTCCTGCCCTCTCAACCAACCCCTTGCCTCCTTCCTCCGTAGCCTTCAAAAAGCTGAGGGGCTTGGAGGATGTGGAACGCGAGATGGAAGAACTCCGACAAGAGGGCCTCTTGGAGAAGGTGGAAAAAGATATGGACGTGCTCAAAATTCTGCATTATCCCACCCTCCGATGGCATCTTGTGTCTGTCATCATCCTGATGGGGGGTCAGCAGCTCTCTGGGATCAACGCGGTATGGAAACCTTCTGGAGGAGACTCCCATCTATCTATCTGGAGGGTTGGAGAAGGCTGCTCTACCAAGACCCCCTAGATCCGTGTTTCTCCACCTTGTCAACTTGAAGATGTGTGGACTTCAACTCCCAGAATTCCCCCGCCCCCCTGGGGGGGTTTTGGGGTTTTGGTCCCCACCACTTTCACTTTTACAGGTGGGGGAAAAAGGAGGAATGGGGGGTTGGGAGAGCAGACCGCCC